GTGCGGCGCCTGGTACCGCGCCCGCGCGCCAACCGGCCTGCGGGTGGTCGACGACGACGACCTGGCCATGTACCAGTTGTCGATGGGCCCGTTTTCCACCACCACCACCATAAGTTGGAGGGAGGAAGGATGAGGAGGAGGAGGACGAAGAGGAGGAGGAGGAGGAGGAGGTGGAGGAGGACCCTTTCCCCCTGCGGGCCCGAGACCGGGGTCTCGACTGCACGTCAGAGTGACCTTTCGCCAGAGTGACCTGGTGCGGGCCCACAGGGCAACCCGAAGTGGCGGAACGCAATGCGATAGCACCGGCTTGCGCGCCGGGTGGTTTCCCCAAGGGGTACCCCTTGGCCGCGCACGAAAGGTCATTCTTGCCTAGGGTCACTCTTTCGGGGGTGGACAGAGCCTCCACCCCTGACACGTGGATTAGTGAATTGTCTGTTTTCGGTTCTCGAGGAGGGCACCGCGGCCGTCATTTTCCAGGCTTGCGCCCGCCAGGTTGGGGCCCGAGGTCCTTCTCACTAAACCACTCTTTACTGACGGGGGTTCTGTCCATCCCCGACTCTTGCGTGTAGCCGAGGGGGCGGCCAAGAGTCAGCCACGCGCAGAGGGGGATGGCGGGAGGGGGGAGGGCGTCTCAGAAGCACCCCAGCCTCTGAGAAGCCTTCCCCGGCAGGTTCACGGCGCGTTGGTTGACGCGGCGGCGACCGCCAGTGGCCCCGAATCGGTTAACATCGAGCGATCAGCGTGATCGGAAAGCCGCGATCGTTCAAGGTTGAACGATGCGCGCGGTGTCAGAACGTAACGCCCACGTCATCTCCACGTGAACCCGCCGAAGGCCTGAGGATCCAGAATGAATGATCAAGGATTTGGACGCGTTTGGTCCCTTTTGGGCCTTGTCCTCCCCAGAGACCTCCTGAGTTGTTTGCTCATCGTTTTCGGGCTCTCGGAGCCCTTCTGGGGCTCAGGGCTGTGGGCTGCAAACAAAACAACTCGGGACGCAATGTGACGGATAGGAGGAGGAGGAGCAGGAGGAGGAGGAGGAAAAGGAGGAGGAGCAGGAGGAGGAGGGAGAGGAGGAGGAGGAGGCGGAGGAGGAGGAGCAGGAGGGAGAGGAGGAGGAGGAGCAGGAGGAGGAGGGAGAGGAGGAGGAGGAAAAGGAGGAGGAGGAGGAGGAGAAGGAGGGGGAGGAGGAAGGACCCCAACGGCCTTTGGTTCCCTGCCAGGTTGGCAGTCCAGCAGGCGCAGTCCCTGTACGATATCACCGCGGCCACCCGGATGTCGAAATGTCGAACCGAACACTGTCCGTGCGCCGTGCCCTTCCTCCCTCTGATCTTCCGTTCCCTGCTTCCTCTTCGCCTTATTCCTTTTGCCATCCCCCATTCTCATCTTCTCCTTCACGGCCTCACTGCCTCCTGTTCTCCTCTGTGTTCCCTCCCTCCTCCCTCCCTCCCCCCTCGCATCTGCCTCCACCCAACGCCCCCTCCTCCTCATCCGCATCTGCCTCAATCCGCCTCCACATCATCCTCACACTCATCCCCTTGCCCCCATCCCCCATCCGCCTCCTCATCCCAGTGCACATCCTCTCCTCCACCGTGCTGCCCCGCAGTTCCGGGGAGGGGTGCGTGCGTGGCCCCCCCCATCGTCCTCTCCTCCGCTCCGCCTCGCAGGCAAACCCGGTGTTCCTGACCTGGCACGCCGACCCGGAGGCGGAGGTGACCAGCTGGGCGATGCGGGCCTACAAGCGGTGCACGGCCCCGCGCAGAAGGCCTCGTAAGAATTCGACCACCAGCTCATGTCGGAGGTGGACAGAACCCCCAACAGTGACACGTCGATTAGTGAATTGTCCGTGTTCGGTTCTCGAGAGGGCGCCGTGGCCGTTGTTTTCCAGGCTTGCGCCCGCCAGGTTTGGGCCTCAGGTCGGTTTCACTAAACCACGTTTTACCAAAGGGAGGTCTGTCCATCCCCGAGTGGGACAGGGAGGTGGCCTCGTGAGAATTCGACCACCAGCTTATCTTTTCTCTGAGGTCCGGACTGATTTCTTGGATCGCCGCTGGGCTCCCCTGGCAGCGCCCGCGGCGTCGCTCCTGGCGCGCTCAGCGCGCCAGAGAGGGGGGTCCAGCGCCGATCCAAGAGGTCCGCGCAGACCACCAAGATTTGACGTTTATGCCGTTGTTGTTCCTCTCAGAGGGTTTTCTTGTAGTGGACCGGTTGTTTCAAAGGCTTCTCGGAAGGCAAAATGGTTTCTGGGACCTCCCTTGCTCAATTCTCTGGAGGTTACCCCCCCGTCACCCACGCCGCAAGGTACTTGGAGCAGGTGTGGTTCGCCCTGGTCTGCAGCCTTTTTGCAGTGTGCTTGGCCACGATCAGATTTTCATTCTTAGGGCGCGGGCAGCCAGCCTGCACCAACAACCTCCAGAGTGTTTTCGACAAAGAGTCGCCGGCTGTCTAGTACCGGACGTCCCCGTCGCTGATCTAGAGGGAGGTCGGTGGGTTCAATAACAAGACCATGTATAGGCTAGGTGATACAGTTGCAGAGCGCAGCTTGATCAGCAACATCGGTTTTGATCGTCGCGTTCCAAAGTAGCGCGATTGGGACAAGGCAGCGCTCGTTTGTGCCGACAGGCACATTCGTGTAGCTACCCAAGATTCCAGTCTTGACGCCATTATTTGACTATGTTCTGCTTGAGGCGCCAGGTCAGGCAGCGGGGCACGCGACCCAGGTTGCTTGGCCTGTTGAGGTCAAAGCACCGCTGATGTCTTTGAGGTTCTCATACAGGCTGCCAGGCTCAAGCGTTGGATTCTCATTACTGGCAGCCCACTCTCCGAAACGAGCGCGATCCTCTCACCTCTCCCATTGCGCGGTGCAAGGTCCATTTACTCAGTCGACGTCGTGTTGTCTGGTTGGTTGCGAGTGCCGAAGACGCCTCAGGCGAACCACCGCCGCCCCCTCCCTTTCTGGAAACGCATACACGGTTGTCGCTGAAAGCAGGTATTTCTGGATTCCCAGATCCCAATCCACTTTGGGCGCCTTCCGACTCACAGGATCGACTGGCTCTTTTTCTTCTCTCCTCTTCGGGGGGCGTGCGGACGCCCACTCTCCTTCCAACGCCGTCCTACTTCATGGGTTTCTACCCACCTCCTCCTCCTCCTCCTCCTCCTCCTCCTCCTCCTCCTCTTACTTCATGTGTTTCTACCCACCTCATCCGACCGACACGTGTGTGTGGACCCGGGCGTCGGGCCAACGCTTGCCCAAGCCATTGGACCGCGTGTCCCCCCCCGTCGGTGTGGGATCCCTTGGGGGAGCACTCTGGCGGAGGAAGAGCGAAGAGGCCTCCTCCTCCTCCTCCTCCTCCTCCTTCTCCTCCTTCTCCTCCTCCCTCCTCCTCCTCAGTCTCATCCTCTTGTGGGATCCCTTGGGGGAGCACTCTGGGGAGGAAGAGCGAGAGAGGGCGAGGCCAGCCGGGTGCGCTCGCGCCGTCGTATCCCTTCCGAGTGTGCACCGGTTCGACATGCACCCGCCGACGGGTGTCGCAGCGGACCGGGACCCTCAGGTTGACCCAATCACGCTGTGCGCAGTCAGAAATGGGAGTTGTGTGCATTGGAGGAGGAGAAGGAAGAGGAGGAGGAGGAGGAGGAGGAGGTGGAGGTGGAGGTGGAGGAGGAGGAGGAGGAGGAGGAGGAGGAGGAGCAGGAGGAACAAGATGAGGATGCGGAAGGACGAGGAGGGCAAGGAACAGCAGCAGCAGCAGGAGCAAGAGTGGGAGGAGCGGGAGGAGCAGGAGGAGCAGGAGGAACAGTGGAAGGCGGAGGAGGGGAAAGGAGCGGGGCGGCAGCGACGATTGAGGATTCGGATCCGGTGGCCCGCGCTGAGGCGAGGACGCCATCTTGAATGACGGGAGCAACGTGTCGACCGACCACCCATCCAACGCTGCAGCGGGAAGCCCTTTTTCGAAGCATTGGAAAAGCTCCGATGGTAACACAAGCGCAGTAAAATAAGCCCGCACAGTAGAGTCGGGGCCCTGAAGAAGGAACCCTTTTCGTTGGGGAGGGGCTCCGCGTTCCTTGAGTGCTTCACAGCTTGCCCCAGGTGTTCCTTATGTTTTTCGGCCGGCGATCGAAGTTTAACGTATGGAAAAAAGGGGCCTCGTTCCTTATTTAATCGCTTCGCTCATGCCGCCGGCCCTGGAGCCCTCTTTAGGGCCTCTTGGGGGCCTCTTGGGGACCTCTTGGGAGTCTCTTGGGGCTCCTTGGCGGCGTTTTGGAGGCCCCCAGGGCCTCTTGGGGGGCTCTTGGGGGTAGTCGATTGCGGCTCCCCCCTCGGAGGCCACGATCCTCGTGAGGGGTGTCGAAAAATACCCTCCCCTGGAGTGGTCTGGTGGCTTCTCCCGGGCTTCTCTCGGGACCTTGCCGGGGTACTTTTCGTCCGGGGGCCCCCAGGGGCCGCTCCGCGCGCGCGAACTAGAAATAGTGTTAACCAGTTACCGGAGATCTTAGCACGCCTCTGGCCCGTTGGGCCGGCG